TGTATATTGTATATGTACAGACATATATTATGGATATATATGTATATTGTATTACATATTATATATGTATGTTTTATATATTTTATATAACATGCATAAATAGAAATAAGTTTGGATCTTACATGGATGGGTAGATACATGTCATCTACAAGATAAATTATTGATACTACACCAAAATGATGGTTAGAATATTCTTTTCTTCTTTACGCTCATCTGTTTCCTCTAACAAGCACCTATGACTTCATAAATAATAAATGTCATTTATGACACAGAACACAGAGACTTATAAAGGCTCCGAATAATGTATGAATTAAGAAAGGTGTTATTATCCCGTTCACTAATTTGTTGTTCTGAAGCTTCCTTTCATTAGCATGGATTATGAGCACACTCCACATGTCTACAGTGGTTTTCAACGTGTTTCATGAGTCCATTGACCCGACACATCCAGAAGAGGCAAAAGCAGACAGACAGAACACAGACTGGCAGTTGCCAGGAAGCCATGAAGAGAAGAGGGAGTCACTGCTCAGTGGCAATGGGATTTCCATTTGGGGTGATGAGAATGTTCTGGAACTAGACAGAGGCAGTGGTTGTGCAACACTGTGAACGTACCAAATGCCACTGGGTCGTAAGGTTGAAAATGGCTGTTCTGTACTTTCACCTCAATTAAAAAAAAAAAAAAAAAGCAAGCATGAGGCTTGGCATTAATTTCCTTCTGTGGCTCACAGGGACTCTCCTGTAACCCTGTTTAGCAGCAAGCTTCTAGCAGCGACTCCCTCTCTGACACACAGTGCCTGGTGTGTACGTGTGTGTTGAGAGAGCCGCAGAAGCACGTTAGGACCCGTGAAGCAGGCATGCCTTTGTAGACAAAAGGAAGAGGCACAAACGTGCAGTTCACGAAGGGTCAAGGTGAGGACGCGGGGGAGGGGGGAGGGGGGAGGGGAGCACTTCTTACGCACAGTAGACCAGGAGCTCGGTGGTCACCTTTCGCTGTCTCCCAGTGCGCATGTTCGTGGCCAAACAGGTGTAGTTTCCTTGGAGGTTTTGTGACATCAGCAGCAGAGTGAAGTAGCTGACTGTCAGGTTGTTTCCAAAGGGCTCGGTGCTGGAATCTGGGGCCCGAAACTGCCATTCAACCATTGGTGGAGGCCAGGAGCTACTGCTGCAGCTGAAGTCCACCTGGGAGCCCTTGGCCGCATAGACAGTGCCATTGGGGAGCTTGCCGGTGCTGGAGATATTGACCTCAACCTCACAGGGGCCGCCTGGGAATGACAGGGGGAATGGAGAAAGCATTAATTCCTTACGAGTTAACTTGAGCTCCTTACCAGATCGAACAGACACAGAAATGAGCAGGAAGCAGCCAGTGAGGATGACAATATCTATCAAACACTTATTATGTGATAAATGCTATGCCAAGTGCCCCTATGCATTCTAATCCTGAGATAAATGTGGATTTATTGGGGGTGGGGGGCTCAAGCCTTATAGAAAAGGGAAAAAAGCAAATCACTCCTTTTCAGACACACTGGTGAGTGGATCGGCTACCTGTGCATTAACAGAGTGAACACAGCAGACCCACTTGCAAGGTTGGCCTTGGCTGGTGACCACAGCGTGGATTTCAGGAGGGTTTCTGCCATTCCCAGAGCTGACGAGATTGAGGCTCACTGGGCCTGAACCGTTTGTACAAACAGTGTGGTTTAAGCTGAGCACCTGCTTCCCCTCCAGGAGTCTGGAATTTTGGTATGTGCTCGGCAGAGGGTGCCTATGTGACTAGCCCCCAGTGAAAATCCAGGGTGCTGGGTGTCTAAGGGGCTTCCCAGCAGACAACATTTCACACGTGTCGCCACAACTTGTTCCGGAGGAATTAAGCGTGTCCCATGTGATGCCCCTGGGAAAGGACTCTTGGAGGCTCACTCCTGGTTTTCCTTGGACTTAACCCCATGTGCCGTTTCCCTTTGCTGATTTCGCTTTGTAGCCTCTCGCTGTGATAAATCAAATTACACGCTGAGTCCTAGGACTTCTCCTAGAGAATCACTGAGCCTCAGGGTGGGCTTGGAGAGTCCTAGCACAATTTCACACTGAAAGACAAGACACATTGGCTCCAGGCCCAACTCTGGCCTCCACTCACTAGCTGTGTGACCTTGGGCAGATTACTTAACCTCTCTGAGCCTCCATTTCCACATCTGTAAAATGGGGGCCATGCTAGAACCTGCCGCAGGGGGCTATGGTGATAATTCAGTGAGTATGGTAGAGCATTCAGAACAACGTCGGTCACGTTGGAAGCACTTGTTAAGTGCTGGATCTTATATGCGTCCCCCTGACATTTCTGAACTTCTTTCTCATCTCCAGAAATGACCTCCCACGGCTGGTACCCAGTGCACCCAAGATGCCGCATCTCTTTTGATGAAAGGAATATAACTAATATCTATTTAGACTAAAGCCATTGAGTGTGTTACCTCACCCAGAGACTCCCCCTTTTATTTTTTTTAAGATTTTATTTATTTGAGAGAGAGAGAATGAGCAGGGGGGAGTAGCAGAGGAAGAGGGTGAGGCAGACTCCCTGCTGAGCAGGGAGCCCAAAGTGGGGCTCGATCCCAGGACCCCGAGATCATAACTTAAGCCGAAGGCAGATGCTTAACCTATGAGCCACCCAGGCACCCTGAGACTTCCCCTTTTAAAAAGAAGAATCCAGGAAGGGCAATGCTTGACCAAAAGAATTTAAACAGAAATAGGCTGGTGGGAAAAATTATTCCAGGAAGGAAAAGGCTCTCCCAGAGCCCCTCAAAGTACAGCATCTACTTCATCTATGTCTGAGGCCATTGTATAACTATAGAAATGGTGGATTCCGGACAATATTCTTGACAATATGCTTCTCAGGTTGGGGCTGGCTCCTAATCGTTGCATGGATCTGCTGGAATCATGTCACCTCCCATAGAGGGTCTGTGGAAAAAATTATGCCATTAGTTTGGGAGGTACCATTTACTGCTGCTGGCTAGCTGGTTAGGTATGCAGACCAGCAGGTAATAGGGCGTGCCCACAGTAGGCAGGCATCCAATGAAGCAGAGGGCATCTCTGTAGTACTAAGAGTCAAAGCCCAGGCCAGCAAAGGCAGCGCGTTAGATTAGACAGCCTGGGTCTTGTGAATTGTGGTCTGCAGGGCCACGGTGGCCTGGCATGGACTGTGTGGACCCCCAGAACCTGGCTGGGAGGGGCTTTTGACCACACAATTCTCAGCAAGAAAACAGCGTTGGATACAGGGAATGGATGAGAAGAAACAGGTGGGAGGATTAGAAAAATAAATCAAATGAGAGAACCTTAAAAGCCTCCTGAATTAAGCATTCAGAGGTTACAGCTCACATAAATCCCTTGGGTTGGGTCTGCTTTCTTAATTAAAGCTGATGCCATCTTCTTGATTCCCTGGGCTTCCTCCCTTGCTCTGACTTTACTACCAGAAGGAGGTACCCATTTCCTTCCTTTCCATTGCTCTCTCCACCCACGTGATATATATTCCCGAAGAGAAGCCCACCAGCCCTTTTTTGCTTGCAGGGTGACGGGGGCAATCACTCAGAGAGACAGATGGGAGAGGAGACAAAAATAAAAGAGCAAATAAATAAAAATATAGAGTGGTTACAAAGGTTTGAGGTCTGAGGCCTTGGTTATTGTAGTTTGAATTCTCGGCTCTTTCTTGGATGGATGCCTTAGCCTAGTGGTCATGAGCTTGTACTCTGAATTCACAGACCTTGGTGTAAATCCTACTGCCACTTACAGAGAGACAACCTTGGACAAGTGCCCATTGCTCTCATTCTCTCTTGTCTTTCCTATGAAATGAAAAGAACAGATATAGGGGTGCCTGGGTGGCTCAGTCGGTTAAGTGTCTGCCTTGGGCTCAGGTCATGATCTCAGGGTCCTGGGATCAAGCCCCGTTTTGGGCTCCCTGCTCATCGAAGAGTCTGCTTCTCCCTCTGCCTCTCCCCCTGCTTGTGCTCTCACGCTCTCTCTCTCTCAAAATAAATAAGATCTTTTTTAAAAAAAGTAGAAATGTGTTTTCGCTCTTGTTATATAAGTTTTTATATAACATCCTCGACTTTACCAGTTGGGCCATAACATCTAAAATATTTACCATCTGGCCCTCTACAGAAAAAGTTGGATTCCTGTTCTAGAACAATCTACAGTGCCACTGCCGTCCTCTTCTCTGCGGACATTCTTGACGTAGGAACAAGTCACTTCTTTCCTTCCCCTCCATAAACATAGTTTGGCCAGTCAAGGGTCTCAAAGGGTTGACTTACAACTCAGGGACCCACAAAATGGGAGATTCTCATCTCCGTGTCTTGGGTTCTCTGCCGAAAGGAAAAGTTGTCATCAGGCATTTGCTCTTCATACTAGCATTCTGATTTGAAAATGACCTAAGAATGTACCAGGTAGTCTCTGCTCATCAGTGGGCATACCTATAGTTCTAGAGTCGGATAAGATCCTTGGGGATCTCACAGAGAGTTTTTTGATATCACTTTTAGAGACTGAACATAGAGACACGTGCAACATCCCATTGCCTCCCAATTTCCCTAGTAATTGCTGTTTCCGTCCAAAGAGCTGGAAACTCAGAGGTCTTCCGCTTCTTATAAGCACCCATCTCTGCTTCAGATGAACTTGGCAAGACTCAAGGTAATCAATCTCCAGGCAAGGATCCTCCATTCTCTGAAGGGAACCAACAATCTTTCTTCAGTGTGCCTGACACACTCTTTCCCTAGGACCTTAGGTTGTGAGGAGGCACATCAGCATCACAGAATGAGGGAAAATAGATGAACCCAATTAGTCAGGGAACATGGGACTTTTCTGAGGCCCCTTCCTGGCCTTTCCTGATGTAACGGCCGCATCACTCACTAGACGGGAGCACTCCCCATCCCCCAAGCCCCAGCTGACTCCAAAGAGATTCTTGGTGGTTGATACAAACCAGCTTCCTCACAGTCCATGTGCCATCCAGCTCAAATGTCCCCTCAGGGGACTTGGGTGGCCTGAGAAAAACAGACACGGGGAGAGTCCGGCACCACGTACCATGAAGTCTGACTGCGGGCCTCCACGGGTTCATCTGCTCACTCAGCTCCCCAGTGCACAGGAGCTGCTATCTCTAAAGAAGAACAAAGTCTAGTGGAATGTGTTCAAGTCTGTGCTACCTTGCCCATCCCTCCAGCCTTCCTGCAGGTAAACACACCGCAGTTCTAACCTCCTGCCCACCCTAATTTGGAGGCAGAAGAGGATGGGTAAGTCAATGAAATAAGTAGCCTTGGCAGCCCTGAACTGCTCCGGACTAAAGGATTTCTGTATCCTCAGGGGCAGTGGTCCCAATCCGGAGGACAAGACTCTTCAACTGCACCATTAAATTAACAAGTAATATAGTTCAGTCTTGTGTCCTGAGACAAATAACAAAATCACATTGCAGTGCCCATTCCAGGCATATTAAATCCTCCTAGCCCAGAGAAACCTGACTCCCCGGGAGGCAGAGACACCAAATGCCCCCTGACCAGTAGGCAGAGATTCCAAACGGTAAGGAGGGAGAAGTTACTGGCCCGTTTCCAGCCAGCTCTGTGTCTCTGCAGCACCTCCGTCCACTCACACACTCAAAGTCACTTACAGATAACAACTCGTCACATCTCAGAATCTTTTTTCCCTTGCTTCCAAGGCCATGTTTGAACGTTCCCAAACTTTTCTCCTTAAGAGACTAAGTTATCAACCATGTCAGTGAAAAGACGGGAAAAGCAAGATCTGGACACGCAGAAGGTCCTGTTCAAAAGGCCTGGATGTTAACTGATTGCTGGGAACCTGAGATGCACTTTTCCCACAGGAATCCCATCACCTGTTTAACCAGGTGGTCGAGGTAACGTGAAGCAGGTGCATACCGTGTGCCCAGCTCTGTGCTGAGGGCCATGCACGTTAATCTCATGAACGTGAGCACTGAGTCTGTGCCTGGGTTCCACGGTTACCGCTAATTCACAGATGATAAAACTGAAGTGAGGGGAGTTCAAGGGACTTCCCCAATGTCACAAGGACAACAGCCAGAAGAACCTGTATTTGAACTCAGGCAGCTGGACCTCAGTGTATGCTCTTAGCCACTCAGCAAGAGCATGGCCCTCCCCTCCCAGAAATAGCGGTCGGATCAAACCTAATCCATATTCCAAAATCTTCCCTGCAAAATGAGGGCCGAGTCCCATCTGAGATGTCAAAGCCTCCCCTTCAGCCACTGTCTGAGGAGGAGCAGTAAGGGGCTCCCTGATGCCCGGAGGGGTCTGTGTTTGCCAGCGTTTGTCCTAGAATGGGAGCAAGACCTGAGATTCTGGAGGGCTCTGGCGCATGGGAAACCAGTGGATATCTGTGCTACGGACTGAACGCTTGTATCCCCTCCGAAATTCATGTTGAAACCTAATCCCCAATATGATGGTATTTGGAGGTGGGGCTTTTGGGAGGAGGTGATGAGATCACGAGAGCAGAGTCCTCATGAATGGGACTGGTGCCCTTCTAAGGAGAGACCCCCCCCTTCCTCTCTCTCTCTCTGCCCTCCACCAAGTGAGGACACAATGAGAAGACCTATCTACAAACCAGGAAGTGAGCCTCACCAGACACTGGATCTGCCAGCACCTTGATCTTGGACCTCCCAGCTTCCAGAACTGCCAGAAGTGTTTGTTGTTGAAACCACCCAGCCTATGTTACATCTGTTACAGCAGCCCAAACTAGGTCCGCATCTAGTTTTTACAAACAAGCCTACACCAGTCGAGGACACCGTAGGTTTCCAAATGAAGAAGTTTCCATAATACAAATCACATCACAGTAACTCAGGGAGCCCCAAGGAGCCATTTGAGTTTAGTGATTCTTTTAAGCTACAAGTTCACGTTCATCATAAAAAGGCCTTGCATTTATGTCCCTACAGGGCAATAATAAAACTAATCCACCCTCCAGTAAACTTAGCCAATGATTAATCAATGGCAGATAAAGTCATCATAAACTGGAGAGAATGAGGATTTAAAAAAAAAAAGCAACAAGTTGTAATGCCGTCTTACTCTGTGGTCAAAAGAGAAGGCATTTATTGAGGAGACTGCCACGAGGAATTATTAATGACTGGCAGCTGGAGTGAGCTGCCCATGGGCTCACAGTAGGAACTGAACAGAGCTGGGCAAGGATGGGTGACATTTTTAACACACCCACATTCATTCTTGGCAATTCAGCAGTTCAACTGTGGCATCTCCAAACACAAAACCACTGCACTCCCAAATTCCATAAGCCTTAAGAGTTGGCAGAAACCTTAGAGACCATCCAAAACTCTAGAAGCGCCCTTGAAGCCTTGCTTTTCTTCATCCTCCACTTCCAATCCACCAGCATGTCTTACTGGTCTGCCTCCAAAATTGTTTCAGAAGCTGTGCATTTTCACCAAGAGCCACTGCCACCACCCTGGTTCTGGCCACCAACATCTTGTGCCTCCAACTGACTTCCCTATTTTTATCAGTCCTTCCTGAGATCACACACATACATTCTGTGTGTGTCACTGAAATAATGCCACACCCATGCTTAAAGTTCCAGGAGTTTCCTCTGGCACCCACAGCAGCAACAACAAAAATCTCAACTCCTTGCCAGGTGTGTCAGTTTCTTCAGGCTGCCTTTACAAAGTCCCACAAACGAGGTGGCTTAAAACAACAGACATGGATTCTCCCACAGTTCTGGAGGCCAGAAGTCTGAAGTCAAGGTGTCGGGAGGGCAGGGGAGAATCCTTCCTTGCTTCTTCCCTGGCTCCTGATGGTGGTCATCAGTCCCTGGCATATCTTGGCTTCCAACTGCAGCCCTCCACTTTCTGCCTCTGTTGTTATACAATATTCTCCTTGTGTGTCTCCATATTCACAGGCATTTTCCTCTTCTTAGGAGGACGCCAGTCAGTTTGGATTAGGGCCCACCCCAATGACCTCATCTTAACTTGATCACGTCTGCATATTTCCCAATAACGTCACATTCAGATACCAGGAGTTAGGACTTGAAAATTTGGGGGGATAAAATTCAACCCATAACACAAGTCCCACCCTCTCATACACTGGGCTCCCACCACACCAGGCTTCTCCCCATCTGCATACACACCACACTCAACTCATCTTGCACTGGATATAGTTCTTCCTGAATTACTCTTATCTCTGCAGAACTGGCTCTTACTCATCAGTCAGCTGAAATGTCACTTCCTCCAAAAGGCTCTCTCTGACCCCCTCTAATTTAAAGTGTTTCAGAGAATGACCCCACCTCGACTCTCTGCAGAGCCCTCATCACTCTCGTATTGCCTGATGCATTCATGTACTTGCTTACTGTCCGTCTTCCCCCACTAGCATGTGAGCTCCATGCAGGCAGGGGCCTGGTCTGTCCTATTCATTCCTATGGCTCAGTGCCTTGACCAGTGCCTGGCACTGGGCTTTCAATGCGTATATGTTGAATAAAGAAATAAGTAAATTATTTTACAGATGAGGAAACCAGGAAGCAATAGGGATCACGTGTATATTTCTACCAAACAACACACTCTGGATCTAGAAGCTGGATATCCGTCTAAACCAGTAAAACAGCACACTTTCTTTGCAAAGGGCTATAGAGTAAATATTTCAGGCTTTGCAGGTCATATGACCCGCATCATTGCCACTCAACTCTGCCAAGACAGCGCCAAAGGCAGTCAGAGATCAGATGTAAATGGATGAGTGTGGCTGTGTCCCAATAAAGCCTACTTTACGGGCACTGGAATTTCATATCATCCTTACATGTCACAAATATCATTTATCTTTGGAGTTTTTTCCAACCATTTAAAAATGTAAAAAATATTCATAGCCTGCAGGCCAGATTTAGCCCACAGATATGGCTAGAGTTTGCCAACCCCTATTCTTTTTTTTTTTTAATTTTATTTATTTATTTGTCAGAGAGAAGGAGAGGGAGGGAGGGAGAGCACGCAAGCAGGGGGAGCAGGCAGAGGGAGAAGTAGGCTCCCCGCTGAGCAAGGAGCCCGATGCGGGACTTGATCCCAGGACCCCGGGATCATGACCTGAGCTGAAGGCAGATGCTTAACCGACTGAGCCACCCAGGCGACCGCCAACCCCCATTCTAAATTCATGCATGTATATCCACAGATAAGATACTGTTTGAGGAAAGTGTAGCATGTAATGTAATAGTAGCTCACGCCACGCCCTGTAGTGAGCACCATAGCATAAGAGCACTACACCTACAAGGTCTGTAATGTATTAACCCCAATTAACAAATAAGGAAAACTGGGCACCTGGGTGGCTCAGTTGGTTAAGCGACTGCCTTCGGCTCAGGTCATGATCCTGGAGTCCCTGGATCGAGTCCCGCATTGGGCTCCCTGCTCAGCAGGGAGTCTGCTTCTCCCTCTGACCCTCCCCCCTCTCATGCTCTCTCTATCTCATTCTCTCTCTCAAATAAATAAATAAAATCTTTAAAAATATATATATATTAAAAAAAAACAAATAAGGAAAACTAATGCTCTGAGATCTTCAGCTACTTACTCAAGGTGACACAACCTCAGGACTGGAACTCAGGCAGTCCGACTCCATCATGTTATATACTCTGACTCTGGTGCATAATAAAATGGCATTAACAGCAAGGACGATGCTAACAAGCTGGAAGCAATCGCTAACTAATACGCCAGGAGCCATTAACAGCACTTTATCTACATAAACCAGAATCCAGTCGTCACAGCAATCCCAGGACATCAGAATTCTTTTCATCCCCATTTCACAGATGAGAACATCCAGGTGTGAGAGGTCACTGGGCTTGCAGGTAGCAGAGCCCAGGATGAAACCGGGGAATGCCTCCAAGGCCCTCCTCCCACCCAGGGCTCCAAGCGCCTGGCCAGCCGGCCCCAGGGCCCTGCCACCGCACTTACCAGCCACCTGCAGCCACACTCGGAACCGCCGGGTCTCGTTCAGGACCTCCCGGCAGGTGTAGTTGCCCTCATCCCGCGGCCTCAGCGCGGTGATGTGCAGCGAGCTGGCATCTGCCAGAGAGAAGCGCGGCTCAGCCGGCGGGAAGCTGGAATTGTAGGACAGGAGGAAGACAGGCTCCGAGTCATCCCGGTACCAGGTTACCGGGCCCCTTGGTCCCGAGACGTTGCCACAGTGCAGAGTAATGTTCTCGTGAACCTGCCCAATGACCAGAGCCTCCAATCCTGTGCGAGGAAAGGTCAGGCTGTTACTACATTTCTTCGTCTCTGAACACCCTCCCTTGCGCACCGTCCCTCTGCATTAGGATTGAAAAATAAATAAATCAGGTGTGTGTTTTTAAACACTCTGCCGATGTTAATGAACCTGCCGTACGTAAATGGCAATCGCAGAGAGAGCCCCAAATCTCCCCCTCCCCGCACTATCCGCGCACTTCACCGCGGGACGGCTCTGCGCGACCACCCGGACGCTCCGCTGGGTCACGTGGCTTGCTCTGGCCAATGAGATGTTAGCAAACGTGATGCGCACAGAGGCTTCAGCAGCACGCGCATAACTGGGCTTGCTCACGCTCGCCTCCTGCCATCACCTGGAGCAGGGCATGCCCACGTTAGGTCCCAGGAGGAGGATGAAAGCTACATGTGCAGAGCCCAGGTGTCTCAATCGTCTGAGCTGAGGTCGTTCCCGAGCAGCCCTCAGCCACCGAGTGGACGCCCGGACACGAGGGTGAGCCCAGGCAAGATCAGCAGAGCTGACTATCCCCAGCCCTTGAGCTATAATAAGTACTTACGGCCATTTTGTGATTGTTATGCAGCACTAATGTGGCAATAAATAACCGATACAGAACCCAAGTGGTTTTATTTGCCTGGAAATCCAGAAGGGATGCAAGGAAGAGGGCCTGGGCTTTGTTCCCACCTTCCTACTGCTGGCTCTCGCCATCTCAGGTGTAAACGATCCTGGAAGTCAAAGCTCTCTTGCCGCTCCAACTTTGGGCATGCCCTGTGTTAGGCACTGGGGAGCCAGTGATGGGCAAAACAGACAAGAGACTTCCAGGATCTCACAGTCTAGTGGGGAAAACAGACAATAAACTAGCAATTATGACCCAGGGTGATAAATATCATGACACGGCCTCAGAGAAGGGGCTCCCAAGTCCAGCTGGGGTGACTGCCGGGGAAGGCTTCCTCCAGCAGGCCACACTGAGATATGATGGACAGGTAGGAATTAGCCAGGTAGACGGGAAGATGGGGTTCCCAGCAGAGGGAACAACATGTTCAAAAGCCCAGATAAGCAGCAGTGGACTCACCGCTATTAGAAGTGCCAATGATCAGGTCCCACCCCCGATCATTTAAATCAGATAAATCACCTATCTAGGGGTGGAGGCAGAAGGTAGCGCTGCATTTTAACAAGCCCTCCAGGTGATTCTGATGCTTACTCATGACTGACAGGTGTGAAGGGCGACTGATCTGGCACAGACTGTCACCAGGTAACAAGAAGCAAATGCAGCCCATTTGCCGAGAAGTGTCAAAACTTTCCAGCCCCCTGCACAATCAATGTCCAAATACAAAGAGGCCACAGGCCCAGGACTAATCGGCAGAACCTGTTAGGAGTCTTCTACTCGTGCTGTCACACTCAGGAGATGAGAAAGGTGTGATGCCAAGAAGGAAAGTGGGCTAACTCCAAGTCCTACAGTAAGAAAGTAGCAGGGTGGGGCCAAAAGCTAGATTTCTTGCTATCCTCCAAAATGTTCTCTTTCCACCACATCAGAAGTTTTCAAAGTATGTGAATACACTGGGTTTTGCAAAAAGTGGTGTTTCATTACAAAATAAGTTGCCTTTGACAACCATACAGGGACAATTGGGTATCTGTGTACAAAAGAATGAGGTTGGACCCCTTACCTCACATCATATATAAAAATTAACTCAAAATGGACCATAGATTTAAATGTAAGAGCTAAAACTATAAAATGCTTAGAAAAAAAAAGAATAAATCTTTGTCACTTTGGGTTAAGCGATGGTTTCTCAGGACCCCAAAAACACAAGTGAGAAAAGAAAAATGGCTAAATTGGATTTTGTCAAAATAAAAATTTTTGTGCATCCAAAGACACCATCAAGAAAGTGAGAAGACAGGGCGCCTGGGTGGCTCAGTTGGTTAAGCGACTGCCTTCGGCTCAGGGCATGATCCTGGAGTCCCAGGATCGAGTCCCACATCGGGCTCCCTGCTCAGCAGGGAGTCTGCTTCTCCCTCTGACCCTCCCCCCTCTCATGTGCTCTCTGTCTCTCTCATTCTCTCTGTCTCGGATAAATAAATAAAATCTTTAAAAAAAAAAAAAAAGAAAGTGAGAAGACAACCAACAGACTGTGAGAAAAATGTTTGCAAATCACCTATCTGATGAGGGGTTTGTATCCAGAACATATGAAGAACTCTCACAACTCAACAATAAAAAGATAAATAATACCATTTAAAAATGGGCTAAGGATCTGAATAGACATTTCTCCAGAAAGATATACAGAAGGCCGATAAGCACACGAGCAGATGCTCATCATTAGTCACCAGGGCAATGCAAATCAAAACCACAAGAGGACACCTACTACTTCATACTCACTAGAGTGGCTAAAATCAAAGACCATAGCAAATGAATAAATACTGGCAAAGATGCAGAGAAGCTGGAATCCTTACACGTTGCTGGTAGGATTTTTAAATGGGGCAGCTACTTTGGAAAACAGCGTGGCACTTCCTCACAAGGTTAAAGTCACGGTATGACTCAGCAATTCCACTCCGCGGTGTAGATCCAGGAGAAATGAAAACGTATGTCTACACAGACTTTACATGTGCGTTCAGAGCAGCATTATTCATTATTGCCAAAAGATGGAAACAACCCAAATGCCCACTAGCTGATGAATGGATAAATAATATGTGGTATATCCATCCAGGGGGAATATTATTTGGCCATAAAAAGGAATGGAGTGCATACTACAGCATGGATGAATCCTGACAACATTATAGTAAGTGAAACAAGGCAGTCCTAAAAGACTACATAGTGTGTGATTCCATTTACCTGAAATGTGCAAAATAGGCAAATCTGTGGAAATAGAAAGTAGATTAGCAGTTGTCTAGGGCTGGGGAAAGTGGCTTGTCTGAGGCGAAGGAGGTAGTGAGGAGTGACTGCTAATAGTCAAGCATACTGCTCTTTTTTGTGGGGGGGCGGAGTGATGAAAATATTCCGGACTGAATTAGTGGTGACGGTTGTACAATCTTGTGAATATATACTAAAAACCACCGAATTATATAGTTTAAAAGGGTGAATTTTATGGTATGTAAATTATATCTCAATAAAGCAGTAAAAAAATAAACTGCCATCTGCCTCTGAAAATCCTTCCCTATTATAAAGGAAAGAGTAAGAGTGATTGGTCTTTGGCCTTTTGTCTGGTTGGAAGGGGTTCCATTTGAAAGATTGGAAGCCAGCCTGGAGCCACGGGACCTTCCAGCTCTCTCCTCATCTTGGCCACACCACTCCCAAATCCCAGGACAACATGGAAAAAAAAAAAAAAAAGAACCAAAAAACTCTAAGCCACTCACTGGAAGGCAGACAATGTCATCTAATGCTAGAGATTCCAAAACAGCAAGACAGGCTTCTGAAAAATCACTTTGAAAAGCAGGTGAGAATTATTTTTAAACAATTAGGCCTGAGAACCCAAGTTCTCAGTGGCAATGCCCACAGAAGAGAGAAGATGAACTGTAGAATTACAGATGCAGCGTGTGTTCATGAGACCTACAGACCTGCCCCTTCTCAGCTCCCTGGCAAATGAATAAAGAACTTGGAAAAGCCCTGGCAGAAGTCTAGTTCTGGAACTTGAGCTAACATTGTCTTCTCCTCCAAGGAGTAGAAAGACACAATCACAAAAGAAACCATTTTAAGGCATTTCACTCCTCCTGGCTTTGCTCACTCCATTCTTTTTAGCCACTGAAGCTAAAGGTGACCTTGGAGGTCATTTCGTCCTGAGATGTGGCAGTCCTGAGGGGCTGGGTTCAAGATGAGGCAGGCAGAGCCCCAGCTCAGTGGAAAAGAATACGGTCATCAGTTAGTGACGTCTGTCTGACATGGACACACAGGGGCGGTCCTTGAGGGTGCACTGGTTCCATGCTTGATCATCCCGTGCGCCCTCATTTCACAGATGAGAAAACTGAGGTTCAGAAAGCTTAAGTGATTTCCTTAAAGGCCCCCTCAAGTCGCTGGGAGAGCTGGGACTGCCACTGAGGTCTTCAATCCTGGGGGTCTCAGGGATTTATTCTGGTCTCCCGATCAGACAGGATGAGACAATAAGACATTATAACAGTTTGTGTTACTAGAAGTTGTCCACATGGTATCCACAGGGTCTGCGAATGCCTCCCCCCTTACCTTAAATTCAGGATATGGACCTAAGGAGGGAACAATATAAACAACCATTTCCCAATGCTGCCCTCATATTGTCATTCGCAGAGTTGAGATTGTACCCAAACACTTATTTTTTTTCCTACTAACCTTTTTCCCAAGAATGACCCGGGATTTATAAGCTGAGGTGACAGTGCAGGCATGAACATTGTCAGGAGTGAAGTGACAATTTTTTTTCCCCTGAGATAACTCCCAATTTGAAAAACAAACAACAAAAATACACCAAGCTGGGGGCGCCTGGGTGGCTCAGTTGGTTAAGCGTCTGCCTTCAGCTCAGGTCATGATCCCAGGGTCCTGGGATCGAGTCCCGCATCGGGCTCCCTGCTCAGTGGAGAGCCTGCTTCTCCCTCTCCCTCTGCCTGCCTCTCTGCCTACTTGTGCTCTCTGTCAAATAAATAGATAAAATCTTAAAAAAAAAAAAATACACCAAGCTGGGGAAGCCCCCTGGCACTACCCACGAAGGTGAACTTGGCCTGGGTATCAAAATGGCTGGGCACGGCATGGAGGCAGTGTCCCTGTGTGGTGAGCCGCAGCCGGGCTAAAAGCTGGTTCATTCCAGAATGATGACTTCCACCCAGGGTTCTGATGTCCCAAGGCCATTGATGTTCACAGCGCAGTAAACACTGCAGACAGCCAGAGGGAAGGGAACAATCACCTTTTTTTTTTTTTTAAAGGTTTTTATTTATTTATTTGACAGAGAGAGCGAGAAAGCACAAGCAGGGAGAACAGTAGAGGGAGAGGGAGAAGCAGGCTCCCCGCCAAGCAGGGAGCCCGATGCGGGGCTCGATCCCAGGACCCTGAGATCATGACCTGAGCCGAAGGCAGACACTTAATGACTGAGCCACCCAGAGCCAAAGGCAGATGCTTAACGACTGAGCCACCCAGGCGCCCCGGCAACTATCACCTTTAACTTCCGGAGAGAGCAAGCCGGAGACTGTCCTCTCCGCCTCCCCGTAGCACAGTGATCACTAAGTCAAATACCAGCAGGGGCCAGCAGGTAAGGTCCATAACTGAAGAGGGTCAGGGGTAAGTACTACAACAGGAGAGGCAAAACAAATTTGGGGTCACATGCCCTAGGTAGAAGGGGGCCACCGCAGTTCAGTTCCAGGTGGAAAAGCCCTGTGCTGCCAGATCATCAGATTTTTCCAGATAAACTGGAAACCTAGATTATGGGAAATGTTACTGCCTTTAAATGATTGCTAAAAACAAAACAAAAAATCTTAGGAGAGCCTAAGGGTTAGGAACTTTGGGCACTTGCTGCTAGGAAGCTCAGGGGGGGCAATTCCTGCAGGAACCGATCAGCAGTGTGTGTGGGCATGGGTAACACAGAAAATAACACTCCAAGTATTCTGGCAAGGTACACCACCTGCTGGCCCCATCTCCTTTCCCTCTACCTGAGTCCTCGCTCTCACTGCTCGTCACCCTGCCCTGCACACAAAATACACATTCGCTGGTGCATTAAAGTCAAAAATGCTTTTTCAATATTTTTATATCCTATATATTTTTGTAAGCAACCCTGTAAACTAATTGTTAGGAGGGAGAGCACAGGTGAAGCATTTAAGACCTTCTGCCAAGTGGAAGATGTCAAGTGGAAGAGGTCATGTCAAGTGTAAGGGCAAATTTTCTGAAAGTCTGAAATAACTTCAAAATAAAAAGGTTTTGTTTTGTGTTTCTTTAAGGCGAAGGACGGAAGGCACGGTTTTGAACGTGCTAGTCCGAACAGGTCGGCTTGCAAGGGGTGTGTAGGGAAATCCACAGGTTACAAGTGTAAAGCGAGTTCAACCTTGGGCAGGGGAAGGAGAGAAAAATAAAGGAGCCTGGAGTTTGAGCCCCAGCGCAGCAGGTAAAACCAGAACGCAAATTTACATCCGACGCTTAAAAAAACAAAAAACAAAAAACCAACCAACAAAAAAGCCACAACAAAAACCACTTTCTCCCCTACATGTGCCTCTCCAGTTTTCCCAGCTTCAAAATTTCCATCTTCAAATTCCCCAGTTCTCCCATCCCCTCTCCGCAGGCCCTCTGCAGCCTCGCTGGCTGCCCACTCCAAGCGACTAGGGCTATCTTGCCCTCCATCAGGCGCCCGGGAAAATTCCTTCCTGCAAAGAGAGCCGAGCTGCGAGCGAGCAGGAAACTCAAGACCCTCCCGGGGAGGCTGCGGAGCCACGGCTACAAACGGCTCCCCCGAAGTCGGAGGGAATTGGGTCCCTGGCTCTCCCCTTTGCCTGGCGAAACTCAACTTTTCCCTCCGGATCGCGGCCCCTTACCTGCGGCGACCCAGCGGGCCAGCAGCACCCCGAGGCAGACAAGGACCTGCGGCTGGGACGCCCGGACGCCCGCGGCCATCTCACCCCAGACGCCGGCAGGGGCTCCTCAGGAAACGCAGGCTCCGGGTGTGCGCTCCGGGTGTGTGTGGGTGTGCGCCCCTCCCCTCCCCAGGGCCCCGGCCCCTGGGGTACTGAGTGCTCCTCCCAGGTCGTCGGAACGACAGAGGAGCCCGACTCTCCGCAGCCCCCAGGAAGGATGCTTCGGCTGAGCCCGACGTCCACCGGTGGGAGCCGCGCTGGACTCCCGGCGCGATTCTGTCTCCGGAGCGCCCGGCCCGGGGTGGGAGGGCGCACCCCGCCCTCTGCGCCCGCCACCCACTCCCGCTCGCGGAAAACAACAGGAGCGGGACTCCCTCCCGCCGCCCATCCAGGCGGGAGCCCGACTTCCTCTACCTTGGCCGGGGAGGAGGGCTTTATGCAAAGGGCGCGCGCCCGGGCGCGCGGAGCAGAGTCCAGCCCGGCCGGGGGTGGAGCGCGGAGGCCGGTCCCTCCCCGAGCCCACTCGGCCCGGGACGGCAGCCCGGAGTCGCGGGGACAGCTGGGCCGGGCAGAGTCCTGCAGCTGCCGCAGGACGGCACCCCCGCCCCGGCTCGCCGGCTGCTTCCCCTCCCGGGCGCTCCGGCTGCAGCACCCGGAGGAGCGTGGCCAGCCGGAGGGGCGGGCTGCCAAGCTGCAGAATTCGGGGTCCCCTCGGCGTCCCAGCTTAGCTCTTGCAGGGTTCTCCCGTGCTTTCCCGTGCTCAGGGCGGACGCCAGGGCCGCCATGGCTGTCTTCTTCTACCCTTTGCAGAACGAAGAAGGCAAGTCTGGAGCAGGAGAAAGATGATCCCTTAGACCCCCAGCCAAAAGCGGCTGTGAACTAGCTGAGACCACACAGCAAGATCGAGAACCCAGGGGTCAGCAGAACTCGGTTCTCAGAGCTTTCTGTACCCCGCGCCCCGCCTCACCGCAACCCCATCCAGTCTGATTCCCAGAGAGCTGCCATCCCTCTTCCCTGCCACATCCTCACTCCATCCTGTCCTAGGAAAAACAAGGTTACCATATCCTCAGGAAAAGCTGATACTTGAAACTGCCCTAGGTGGAACTTCCTTTAAAAAAAAAAAAAAAAAAATTGCAATTAAGGGTGTTTGCCTTCTTTCAACTTTTCTGTATGTTTGAAAATGTTCATCATAAAATATTGGGGCAAAAACCAAAAATTGCTGTTAAGAAACATCATCTGTTCTGTTGCCCAAAGGCCCCTTTTTGAAATACTTCTTCCATGATGAAATCCTCTTGAAACTAATAAAAAGAGTGTGTTTTGCCTGATGAACTGAGCCATAAAATTGCACGGTTCTTCCCTTTTCCCTCTTTTGCGAAATGATTTAACTCTTCAGCTGGCTCCTGACAGTTTTCCTCCTTTCCCTGCAGTTTGGTGTTTCATCTTTTACCTTGAGGTGGAAGGTAAATTCTATCCTACATGACCTCTTCCTGTTTCCTCAGTGCCTGGCACCTCATAACCACCCACTATGTATTTGTTAAATAAACAAAGGAGAGTTCGTTGGCTTTGATATTGTAGCTCCTCAAACTTTTCTGACAAACTCCTTACCTCACATTCCCCACCTGAAGCGAACAAGATAGAAGTCAAATCAATAGCTGGCAAGTCTCCAGCTGAGGATCTGGAATTTTCTGTGACCCTGGTGGTACCTCAGGTGGGGAATTGCACAGAACAGGCCCTCCTGATATATTTGCTGAGTCAAATGCAAGGTGCTTATGACCAGTTCTCCACCCCGCAGAAGGATCAACTTCCTTTGGGATGGTTTACAATGCTGAATAGTTTGCATGGCTGGGGTCTTTTTCCAAAGCCACTTTGGAAACTTAATCTCATTGAGCCCTCCCTACAATCCTTTTACCTAAGAAATCATGCGATCCCACTGAATAAATGACATACCCAGAGCTCCAGGAGGGTAAGCTCTGAGTCACTGAGCTGGTTGGTGGCAAAGCCAGGACTAGAGCCCATCTCTGTGCCACACCAAAACCTGCCAAACAAAATTATTTCGCTACTTATACAAAGGCTACTACCGTCTGGATGCTTTGGGGGTCACTGGGCCGGCAGACATGGGCATGCCCCTGAGCAGGGCTCCAAGGACAGCTGTGTGGCCCAGGAAACACCCACCCTCTCTGGTCTGGGTACAGGCTGTGGCCAGCCCTGAGACAGAAGCTGTCAGGAACTGCCCCGCCCTGATGTTCAGTAGCACCTCGGGCTGCTCTGGACAGTACAGTAGAAAGCACCAGTGACCAGTGAGGTAGGGGTTCACCGTGGGGTCCCTAACAAGGTAGGGACCTTTCAGAGCCTTAGTTCTATGATCTGTGCCTCATGCGTTGTTGGAAAGACAGAGTGAGTTGACTTGCAGGAAGGGACTCAGCAAAGTGTTGTTAAGGCATCAACCCCAATCTACAGTCATATATTAATCCTAAACCCCACAAGCACATATTAAACATAAGGCTCAAACACGTCTCTGCTCAGGCTGCTACACAGGGCTGTTTTTATTTTGTTTTGTTTTCACCTCTGGTGAATTGAGAGAACTTCCCTGGGTTAAGTGCTTTACCTACATGAATTCACTGACTCCTCAACACAACCCTGAGAGGTAGGGATTATCATTCTGAATGTAGAGATGGCTCAGAGAGGCCAAGGGACACAGCAAGTGGGGAGGGGAAATGTTGGGGGGGCTGATCTGAACCCAGGTCTGAGGCACAGCTGTCTTATTCAGTCTTGGAGGGAGGGACAGCATGGGGCTCCCACCTGACTCCCTAGCCAGCACTCCTACAGCCTGGGTCTCTGAGGCCATCAAGCTACCTATTATTTCCACCCAGCTACTTCTCTTCTGTGCTCTCCCTAGAGGCAATGCTGAAAGGTTTCTTAGCAACAACCTGCTTCTCTGTTCAACCTAGAGATATTCTCCTGGGGGCTTTGGAAAGAGCAGGCCAGTCAGGAACAGCTGGGGTAGCAGCCTGGCTACTCAGTAAGCTCTGCACCCCTGCACTTCAAGAAATATAAAGAGGCGCATGACCATCCTACCTGTACCCCCGTGGAGAGGCCTGGGACCCACAGGCTGGCACCTCAAGGAACAGGGACAACCAAACCAACCTGGCTTGTTCTCTGGAAAAGAAAGCCTGCTAAGCCTTCCCAAAACACCACCTCCTCCCACCTCTCCTCTGCCTTCTGCCCAGAAGAAAAGAACTGGCATGCAGAGGCCATAGCAGGAAAGTTCCTGAAATCAGGCGAAGTTCTAAGAAGAAGCTGGCAGGATGAGATAGGAAAGTGGAAAAATGGAGAGTTGTCAAGTGAGTCTATTTTTGACCGGAGACCGGCCTCTTTTCTCTGGACTCGAGACCAGGAGGGTGAAGTTTGTTATCTCTGAGTGGCAAAGAACCACAGAATGTGGAAGGCGGACCCAAACCCAGAAAGCAAAATGGAGCACAGGAAATGACCAGCCAGTTCCCTGAGAAATGGGCAGCCAGGGGGCTGAAGGGAGGGGGTTGACTCACCCCTCTAGGAGATGAATGCAGCCTAGGAGGTAAGCTGGTGAATGTCCAACCACAGACTCTCCTGCTGGTGGTGATAGGGGGTTGACTTGTAGTGTTGGCCGATTTCCCTGGTGTAAATCCCTCCACCATAACCAATTCCAGGCACTCACTGGGAAGTGACTTTACTGGATGTACAATCTGTTCTCCCAAGCCAGCACCCTGGGAATACACCAGTCTCCCCCAATGAGGTAACTCCAAGGCGGGAAACTTTTGACTGGATGGCCCAGGAGCCAGACAGATGACTCAGGTAAAAACCATTCTTTTTTTTTTTTTAAGATTTTATTTATTTATTTGACAGAGAGAGACACAGGACCCTGGGATCATGACCTGAGCTGAAGGCAGATGCTTAACGACTGAGCCACCCAGGCACCCCAAAATCATTCTTTGATTAGTCTCCTGTTCTTTGATCTCACACTGTTGAATGCCATTTGTTGGCCAAAATAAATGTGATTTTCCTAACTTCGAATTAGGACATATGGGTTGATAACAGCAAGTATATTTAATTTACAGCAGTAGAAGAACTTAGTAAACTCAGGGTTTCCAGAGAAAACTTGGATGAAACATTTTTCCAAAGTTGACACACCTATTTCCTAGATGGCATTGCTTTTTCCTGATTATAAGCATATCAGGCTCACTCTAGAATAATGAAAAACAGAAAAGTAGAAATAAAGTGTAACTATAACCCATCTAGAAATCGTTAGTTACGTCACTAGAAACTTCTAGTCATTTCTGATGAGTTCCAATGTGTGTGATTTTTTTTTTACAATGCTGTGATAATATTTTACACAAAGTTTTGACTCCTGCTTGTTTCTTTCTTTCTTTTTTTTTTTTTTTAAGATTTTATTTATTTATTTGACACAGAGAGAGAGAGAGAGCACAAGCAGGGGGAGGGGCAGTCAGAGGAAGAGGGAGAAGCAGGCTCGCCTAGCAGGGAGCCCCATGTGGGGCCCCATCCCAGGACCCTGGGATCATGACCTGAGCGGAGGCAGACGCTTAACAACTGAGCCACCCAGGCGCCCTCCTGCTTGTTTCTTTAGCTGTATAAATATACATTGTAATTTTTTTTTTTTACAAGTAACCAGTCTTTTTAACTGGAAAAGTAATAAAAGATTAATGGTAAAAAAAAAAAATCAAATGAACCTTGCTGACATTGTGCTAAGTGAAATAAGCCAGTCACAAAAAGACACATACTGTGTGATTCCACTTATTTGAGGTGCCTCATGCAGTCAGATTCCTAAGAGAGAGCTAGAAGGGTGGTTGCCAGGGGCTGGGGGGAGTGGGGTGGGGGTTAGTGTTTAACGCGCACGGGGTTTCAGTTTTGCAAGATGGAAAGTGTTCTGGAGGCAGATGGTGTGTGTGATGGTTGCACAACATTGGGAATGTACTTAATGCCTCTGAAATGTACGCTTAAATAGGTTAAGATGGTAAATTTTATGTTATGCATATTTTACCACAATTAAAAAATTTTTTAAATGCAGAAGAAAATGGGGAAGTGGGAGAACAATGAGAAAAAAATAATACACACACGGGACAATGAACAGAGACACTTCACTGGTATTTGTGAATTGGGTGAATCATACTGAAAAAAATCCAAGCAATTTTACAGTGAAATTATATCTGAAAAGTAAGTCTTCTGCTCCCCTGGTCCCAGTCCTCTTCTCAGTAACACCCAGTCTCTCCAACTTCTGGAGACTACAGTTTTTGCTGGTTATTTAATATGCACCTGTTGGAATATTATACAGCCATCAACAGTTGTATTTTCAAAGTTTATGTAATGAAGAAGATTTGGCTGTTACGATTACCCAGA